ACTGAGAATTCCCGTTTTTAAAGAACTTCTAAGATAAGAGAGAGTTTAATAAAACCCAATTTTGAAATCCACTTAGAAATACCATGAAGAGATAATATGAGCTATACCAAAAGATAAATTCCATCATTTATCTGTGCCCAGTGGTGTCAGCGAAGACTTACCACAAGTCGGAAGCCATAGTTAGATGCCATTCCAGACTTGGAATTTACCTTATAAAAGATCAAAACTAAATTATGTAAAGTCACTTTAAGAAAAGACAGCTTGGAAACCTGAAGAATTGGCAGAGACCTTGACTGAATATATAACAATGTGAAACCTAAATGAAGGTATTGAAGAAGCATGGGAACTCAAGAGTTCAGACAAGTGCAGGTGTAAACATCTCAGTGCTCAGCCAACAGGCTGCCCAGTGGAGGCACGCTCAGGGGGCTGAGTTCCCATGCTTTATTGGGGAGACATTGTGCAATGAACATACCAAATGTCCCCCACCCCGACATTTTGTTCTCTTGACTTCTTGTGTTGATTCTTGGGTCATGTGATGGGTAAGAAGTTTCTGTAAGCTAATGCTACCATAAATTAATAAACAGATGCCCTTGCTTTATGGGCTTTTGCTCCAGGCACTGGCTTCATCCTTGGCATATAAACAAAACTGTGTCTGTGAGTTTGCAAGGCTGAAGGCCAGATCCTTCTAAGTTGATCAGAACCATGAATTTTTGCCTCAAATGCCCTCTGAAATGCATTCTTTAAAGTGAACACTCTAGACCATGGCCATGTATATGTTCTCTTTAAAGCACTGTTGAATGCTACGGGCTTCAGAGGAAGATCTGGTTAGCCATGCATCAATCTAGTAATGACAGGTCAGGACGGAATGTTTAGGGATTTGAGGAATCCCAGGCATGGGAAGAATCCCCATGTGCCTTCCTGACAGGCAGTGGCCAGATCCAGTGTTTGAAAGTCTACTGATGAAAACACACTAATACAGATGGCCTGGTGTATGTAACCCTGGCAAGGTCCTTTGCAGAGTTTCTCCACCTCTTGGTTTATTCCCACTCTGAGTTCTCTAAATGTCCCCCACTAGCAGCAAACATGTCTGGATAATTAGAATGGCACTTCTGAGCAGGTCCTGCCTTTCTCATTGCCACCCTCTCCCTGAGGCCCTTTGCTTGGGAGTCAGATTTTTCTCTTCACAAAGCACTTAATTTTTTTTTTTTTTTTTTTTTGCTGTAGGATAGAGTTTCTGTTAAGCACATTTCTCTCTGCCTTGCTAGGAACAAGATTTTAGAGGTCCTCTAGTGGCGAGTTTACCATCACTAATGTTCCTTAGTAGGACATATCACTTAAAGTTGAGAGTGATTTTCCTGGGGGCTTTAGAGCTTGGCATTATATTTTAGGTATACTGAGATCTCCAGGAAGTAGCTATCAGTTTCATCCCTCTCCTAGCGTATGTTTCCATTTATTTATTTTTGGTTTTTTGAGGCAGGGTCTCAGCCTGTGGGTCTGACAGTGCTGGGAGCTTGCTGTGTAGGTCAGGCTGGCCTTGAGTTTACAGGGGTCCTTCTGCTGCTGCATCCTGAGTGCCGAGATTCAGGCAGATTTCTGGCACCATTAATTTTTTTTTGTCTCTTGCCAAGAACCCTGTATACTATGCCCACACAAAGAGAGCTCACTTATGTATCTTTCTTCCTAGGTTCACCTGCATGCTTCCCACTGTGGAAGGAGGGAAAGGCTGGGCCATGGACATTGAAACCAGAGACACTCAGATTCTCATCATTCTTCCTCCACTTTATGATAAATTACACAGAATAAACAGCTTTCACTGATTCCACACATATTCTTGAAGCGTTTGTACCTGGACTCATCTTTCAGCATCACCCCTGTTGTCCCATCTACATGCCGATTCATGTGTGCAGTGTAGACACGTTTTTCGTTCTTTTCTCCCTTGTTTGGTTGGCAAGGCGTAATTATGCCACATATTACTGTCTTTTTAAATGTGAACTGTCCCCCAAAGGGTTCATGTGGCTGTTTGACTACTCAGTGGGTGAACAAGCTACTTCATCTCACATCAGCTCTGTTTCCACGTGTACAAAATGGAAATAATGAACTCATGCTGGATTATGAGTTAGAGAGGAGGAAGAAGTATCTGGGCTCACACCTGTAGATGCTCAGTAATTGGTAGTTTCTCAACTCATTTTCTCCTCTTCATGGACCAGGGGAGTAAAATTCTAGCAAGCAAGAGAACCTGGCTGATGGGAGAAGTCCTTCTGTATATGTTTGTCATATTGGTTGATGAATAAAACACTGTTGGTCATTAGGGCAGCAAGATAGGTGGGTATAGGAGATGAGGAGAACTCTGGGAAATGTAGTCAGAGTGAGACATGTGAGACTGCAAAGGGGTAAGAGGTCCAGACCCTTCTCAGGTAAGATAAGACCACCTGGAAATACATAGATTAATAGAAATGGGTTAATAATTAAGACAGAGCTAGCCAAATAAGAAGCCCTAGTCATTGGCCATCAGTTTCATAATTAATATAGCGTCTGTGTGTTCATTTGGGGCAAGGTGGCTGGGGAACTGAGTAGGAAATTCTGTAACACCTGGTGGTCCTTTCCCAGGATCCCTCTGTCCTATTATGCCATCTGAGATCTAATTACAAGCCAACTCTGGCCTGGTTTCCCATCTAGAGCTAAGATCAGTTGTTCACCCAGCACACCTATGGATATATTGTATTGTGCTTATTGTTAATTATTCAGAAGACCTGGCTCTATCTTTGGGGGACCACATTCTTATCTGTTATCCACTAAGACATCTAGGGGTGTTTCTTTTCTTTCTCAGATCCTTCCACTTTCTGATGGCAATCTGGTTCTCATTTCCTCAGCTTCAGTTTCGCCTCACAACATCCAGACGATGGGTAAACCACAGGGTTGTCCTCAGGATGCTCTGTCCAGGAAGCTAAGATGACTCAGGATTTGGAGAACCCCAAATCAGAAAATGTGCTCTATGGGCCCTTTAGCCTGTCTCCCAATCTGTTTTTTTGACATTCTGTTCTAGTTTGCTTCCTATTGCTTTGATGAACAAGCATGGGCAAGCAACTTGGGGAGGAACTGGTTTATTTTAGTTTGCAGGTTATAGTGTGTTATCAAGGGATGCAAAAGCAGGGACTTAAGGGAGGAGTTGGAAGCAGAAACCATGGAGGAATGCTTCTTCTTGGCTCACTCTCAGGTTCCCATTCAGCCACCTTTCTTACAGAGCTAAGGCCCACCTGTCCAGGGATGGCAATGCCCGTGGTGGACTGGCCTTTTCAACTTAAATGAACAATTAAGAAAATGCCCCATAGACATGACCACACTCCTATCCAGGGGAGGAAATTCCACAACTGAGGTTCTTTCTTCCCAGGTGTGTTAAGCTGACAACCAAAATTAGCCATCACACAGTTATATTACTTCCTTAAATATGTCTCATGTGTGCAAGACATAATTATCATTGCTGATGTACAACCCTAATTGTTCTCCTTGCAACAGTGGGCAAGAATTATTTCTACTTGTATTAAAACCTAAATAATAAAGGTGCTCCAAAGCAGTCATCTGAATGTGGCTAGATAAGTCACTCTTCCCAAATATGACAAGGAAATAATCATCTTTTCTCTGCCCATTTTGTGGTCCAACTATGAGATTGGAAGGACCTCTAAAAATATGTGGTGTGTGTGTGTGTGTGTGTGTGTGTGTGTGTGTGTGTGTCTGCTTGTGCCTGTGACAAGGTGTAGATTTTCAAGAGTCTGGCTCTCTCCTTTCCCCATGCCAGGATCATTTTCAAGCTCAAGACACATGATACTTAAGAAAGACAATGTAAATATAAGTCCTGGAAAGTAAACGCCAGACAAAAAATGATACCAGAGAACAGGCTGGGCGATATTAAGGTGTAAATGGAATTCTAATTGGTCTAAATAATAAAAACTCAGTCAGATATAGAGGAAAATGCTGAGAGATCAGAGAGAAGAAGGAGCAAGCCAAAGCCACCTTTACCTCATTAGCTTCTCAGCAGAAAAGAGAGTGAATTCCTATTTCTTTCTGCTTATATCATCTCTGGGCCCAGCTATCTCACTTCCTGTCTCTGCCCAGCCATCTCACTTCCTGTTTCACCCAGCCACCTCACTTCCTGCCTCTCATGCCCTTCCCTCCCCTCCTCTCCTCTCCTCTCCTCTCCTTTCTCTTCTCTCCCCTTCTCTCACTTTACCTTCTTCTTGTTTCTTTGTTTTACTGTGCTGCTCATACTAGCCTAGAACACCTGATCCTCTGGCCTCAGCCTCCCAAGGGCTGGTATTATAGCTGTATAGGACTACAATTCAATTCTCTCTCTCTCTCTCTCTCTCTCTCTCTCTCTCTCTCTTTCTCTCTCCTTCCTCTCTTATGAATAGCATCTCAACGTATTTAGTGGCAATTTATATAGTCATAGCTATAAAAGATGCTTTATCTACTCAACAATAATTTATTTAATTACAAATTATTCTCACCTTAATCTACTGTAAGGTACTTTTGTATGATGTGCAGGATATACTTATATTCTCCACATATGAGGGGAATTTCCTGATATTCAACAATTAAATGTTATTTTTCTGTATTTTTTCCACTGGAGTAATAAACCTTTTTATCTTCCTCATTTGCTAAATTATTCTATCTTGAAAACACGTTGATGACTATAAAACCCTTTTATATGCAAATATCTGCAATATTCAACCTTTATAGTCAGTGCAGCGAAAACCATTGATGAATCCCAATGTATTAGAGCAACTTTGCATTTCTGATAATAGTTTAGAGGGTGGTGGTCATATGCACATGGAACTAAATCTGGAATGCTGCAACCCTGTTCAGGATGGACAGTGACCTGGAGTTCCACTATGCTGCCCTCCTGTTCTTCTGTCTTCTCTAATGAAGTTAGTTCTGAGACCTCCAAGATCCTCCACTTTTCAATGATCCAATTTGGATTTGCCATGACTCTGCACTGATTTTTTCTACAGGATCCCACGCTCATGTGGGGCACCACTGGTTCTGTTGCACAGTTTGGCTTGGGGAATAGCAATTGTCTCTTCAGTAAGAAAGTTACACCATCCCATGGGCCCTATTGTGGAACATACCCCATGGCGGAAAATTTGTGGCCAAATTGTTGAGCCTCACTTTCTATTATGAACAAAAACAACAGAGTACAGAACAAATTTATGAAAACAGTACTGATGATTTCTAAATATTCCTAGAGAACACGAATAAAGAAATGTGTTTAATTTTCAACTCAAGAGACGAATAATTTACTTTTAGGGTATTCAAACTTCAGCTAAACTCAATAGTTCTCACTGAAGAGAACTTGGGAGAAAAGTATGCTTTGCAAACACAGTCAAGAAGCAGATTCATGTCCCCATGCCTTGTTATTATTTCCCCCTTTCCATTCTCCTCAGCTCCCCTCTACCCCTCCCACTGGCTTCTCGTTCCTCCCATCCTGCTTCATGCCTCATGTACTCTATTGTACTCCTCTCCTTTCCTTCTCCCTTTCCCATAACAGCTCTGCTTCCAACACAGTACCCTTCCTACTTTCATGCCCTCCTAGACATGTCTACACACACACACACACACACACAGATTTAATTATAGCTTTCATCTATGAGAAGAAAGCATGCCGTGCTTGACTTTGTGAGTCTGGCTTATTTCACTTAACATAATGACCTCTGGTTCATTCATCTCCTCATTCTTTATGGATGAACAAAATTCTATTGTACATAATGTGTTTTATTCGTATCGTTGATCCTCTCTTTCTTCTCTCTTTCTCATCTCCCTGGAAATTTCATTCTTTATGGATGAACAAAATTCTATTGTACATAATGTGTCTTATTCATATCGTTGATCCTCTCTTTCTTCTCTCTTTCTCATCTCCCTGGAAATTTCATTCTTTATGGATGAACAAAATTCTATTGTACATAATGTGTTTTATTCGTATCGTTGATCCTCTCTTTCTTCTGCTAACCCCCTTCTTTTTCCTAACTAGCTTTTTATTTTAGTTTTCAGAGGAACCTCTAGATTGATTTCTGCAGTGACCATACCAGTTTGCATTCCTACCAGTGGTGTATAAACGTTCCTCCTTCCCCATATCCTCACCAACATTTGTTGTTTCTGGAAAAGACTCTAATAGCAAGGAACTAATACCAAGAATTGACAAATGGGATTACAGAGAATGTAAAAGCTGCACAGCAAAGGAGTCAATCAGGAGAGTTAAGAGAGAACCCACAGAAGGGCAAAAACCTTTGCCAACCACACATCAGACAGGGTATTGGTATCTAGAGTATATAACTCCAGATATCAGAATATTGAATTTCTCATGGCATTAATAATAGCCACAGTCAAGATATGGCAGCAACCAAAATTTCCATTAGGAAATGAATGGAAGAAAACTGAGATAGGGTCTGGAGAGATGGCTTTTGCATTAAGACCAGTGACTACTTTCCCAGTTTTACTTTAGAGGAAGTAAAGATCTCAGTTTTAGAATATAACCATATGAAGGACACATGGTTATGAAACGTGTATCCACAAGCGCTGAGGACAGAAGGGTGAGATCTCTGCATTGTCTCAGAGTGGCTTGGAGCTCTTAGAACAGAGTAGATGGTAAACACTAGCTGTGATATCCTGGTGGTTACCAAAAGGTAAGAAGTGGATTTGTGTAGGCACGTCAAGTTAGCCGCCAGCAAGAGTTTGTGCAGATGTTAGTTCTTTGAGAAGGTGTTGATCATCATCACCATCATCATTGCCATCATCATTATCACCACCACTACCACCACCAACTGCAGCAGCAGCATCTACACCCATAACAGCAGGGTTAGTGGCAGGGTGTGCTGCAGCAGGAAAGTTGGTTCTCAGCAGGAGGTCCTGAGGCAGGAGGTCAGCAGCAGCTGGTCTGGTAACAGGGTGTGCAGTAACTGGGAGAGCAGCATGGCTGGCAGCCAACATATTCACATCAGCTGGGATTGTAGTGGGGTTGCAGCATCTGGTCACACAGCTTGTTCTCCAGCAGGTGGCCCTGCAGCAGGTAGGCTGGCAGCAAGAGAGACAGCAGGAGTGGGTCATGGTGTTAGATGTAGAGGGCTGGTCTCCTGTTCACTGGCTTCTTTCTGTGTAGACCTTTTATGTATCAGGTCTTCATAGTTTGGACCAATCAGTGGGTCTCTCCTTGTTTCTGTAATATTTCACAATGCTATCAAAGAAAACATTTCTTTCTCAATGTGATGAAGTTTTTCAAAGTAAGGATCTTAATTGAGAGCAACTCATAAGAAACCTTTGCAGGCAGAAGGAGCGGAACATACCATCAGCAGCCTCTTGCTTTGATCATTGCTTGATCATGTAATCACTCCTGGAACCCTGGGAGACTCAGTGTAGTTGTCCCTTAAAAGTTTAGTTCCTTTGGCTCTGCTGAGATCAGGAAAATACTCAAGAGAGAGGCTTGGTGGTGCTTAGAGATTAACTGAATAGCTAGTTCATTGTTTATTCATAGAATCCCAACTCTGCAGGCTAGTCCAGGCATTTTTTTTTCCTGTACCAATTCCTCTACCTGGGTGTTCCAGATTCATTAAAGACAATTTGGGGGTGAGAAACTGGTGATGTAGCTCAGGTGAAAGGATGCTTTCTTAGCCCGGATTTCAATCCTTAACACTGCATTAACCAGACATGGTGGCACACGCCATAATCTCATCACTTGGGAGTTGGGGATGGAGGATCAGAAGTTCAAGGTCATCCTCAGATATATAGGGAGTTTGAGACCAGCTTGGGTTATATGAGATCCTGCCTAGGAAAACAAAGGTGATCAGAGAAGATATTCAGCACAATGCAACAATTCTATTATATCCATATAGAGCTTAGCCATACAGAGCAGGTGGACTAAAGCAGCAGGATACACTGGAAGGAGGAGGTATTAGCAGATACAGGGATTCATCGTACTAGGATGAACACACAAGACTTTAACTGTTGCTGATCTGAAAAAAAAATACCAGGGTCCAGACAAATGCAGTTCCAACCTGTAGAGAAGTAGGGCTAGTGTTCTGCTTGTCTGTCTGTGTTTTATTCTTTGCTTTACCATTTTCTCTCTCTCTCTCTCTCTCTCTCTCTCTCTCTCTCTCTCTCTCTCTCTCATTCAAGGGAGGAATTAAGCTGTGTTGTTGTTGGACCTCACCTTAAATGATCATAGTAATTAATTTCCAATCCAAAAGGACATCTTAAAGTGAACACAATCATGCTATGTGTATGTAACCAGAGTAGGAAATAGAAATTAACTCCCAGGTCTACCAGTCATATCTTCTCATCGTGTTTGTGTTGCCTTGCAGCTCCGTAGTTCTTGTTGATCTCTTTTGCTTTGAATAACTCTTTTCTAGATGACTTTAATATTGGTGGCCATCAATTTTGAAGGTTGTGCTAAGCCATGCTGTTAGATGCCCACCAATTTTACTATAGACAATATCCATGACATTGATGATAGTAGGTCCTGATGATAGCAGCTGCCTGAGATGTTTTCAGAAACCTGGAGGAAAAATTTATTTAACTCATTGGAGTTGAAATCATTGATACTTCAATTGAGACTGTGTATATTTCCTGTGGGTGACATTTTTGAGGTTGGAGGGTGGAAGATTACTCTGACAGGTTATTTCTTTACCTATCTCCCAGACAAGTCTTGGTGTTTGATTGTGCATGGACAAACGATGGATTGTTTCACTTTGTACCCAGCCATTGTGCCAGTGCCACCATTCACTCTGTTTCTCTGTCACATCACTATCTCTGGACCATATCCCTAAGATGGCAGACTTGAGGCATGTTTCCTACCTCTTTGTTTATTGTTTGCCTTGTGAGTTGTTAACCTATTCTCTTCTGCAGAGCTCCTCCTTTGAGTGAAAAGTGTGGTGTGTGGTGTGTGGTGTTGATTTACAAAGATAACAGCGGTGCTTTCCTCCTCATTTTTATTCTTTCTCTGGGAAATACATTGTCTTAAGAAAACTCAGCCTAGCTTAGCAGTGTTGGTACATTCTTTTAATCCCAGTACTTGGGAAGCAGAGGCAGGCGGGTCTTTGTGAGTTTGAGGCTAGCATGGTCTACAGAGATGGTTCTGGGACAGCCATGGCTTCACAGAGAAATCCTGTCTTGAAAAGCAACAAAACAAAACAAAATAGAAAACTCAACCTTTTAGAATTCATATATGTATATAATATATTTTGATCTACCACTCATTCCCTTTCCAGCGTCTTCCAAGCTCCTTCCCTGTGTCTCTCTCCCAACTTCATGTCTTAGTTTTGGCCCAGTGATAGTCCAATCAGAATTGTCCATATGCACATAGCTGTAGGGCAATGGTTCTCAACCTTCCTAATGCTGAGACTTTTTAATACAGTTCCTCATGTTGTAGTGACCACCAACCATAAAATTATTGCATTGTTACTTCATAACTGTAATTTTGCTACTGTTATGCATCATAATTTAAGTATTTGATATGCAGGGTATCTATTATGCAACCTCAAAGGGGTCACAACCCATAGGTTGAAAACCACTGGTGTAGGGCTATCCTCTGGAGTGTGGGCCATTTCCCTTAACAATCTTGAAAGAACCTTTAAATTCCTTACCCCAACAGCCTTTAAGTATCAAAGCTCCTCAGCTAAAGGCAGGGCTTTTTACCTCTCCTCGTATCTGCTAGAATTATGGCTGGCTTGACTTTTTGCAGGTCTTGGGTAGGTGGTCATAGCTCATGTCAGTTCATAAGTTCAATGGTCTCATCATGTCCAAAAGGCATTATTTCACAAGGATCTTTCCCAAGCCTCCAAAGCTAATAAAAAGAAACCTGCAATGAAAACTATAAAACACCAAAGAAAGAAATTAAATATGCTAAGAGATAGAAAGGACTTCCATGATCATGGATTGGTAGGGTTAATATTGTGAAAATGGCCACAATATACACAAATTGAAGAAATAATCTTAGGATTCATATTGAAGCACAAAAGACCCTGAATAATCCAAACAATCTTAGACAATAAAAACAGTGTTGCAAGTATCACAGTTTCTGATTTCATGTTATTCTATACATTATAGTAATAAAAACACCCTGGTATGCATAAAAGGAGACATGTTGACTAGTGGGATAGAATTAAGGACTCAGATATAAGTCCATGATCCTAAAATTTCTGGCACATGACTGAAAAAATAGCTCTTCAAGCTCATGAATATATTTTTGTTGATTCTCAGATTGTATTTCAGTCACAACATTTCTCCCTTCCTTTTCTTCTTTCCAACCCTCCAATATCCTGCCCCCATTCTTCTTCAAATTCATGCCCTCTTTATTGACACATGAATTTTGACAAAGATGCCAAAAATGCACATTGGAGGAAAGAGAGCATCCTTAACAAATGGTACTTGGAAATTAGATCCTTATTCCCCCCAAAAGAAAACCCAACTCAATTCCAAATTTATTGACATTTTATAACATGCTTTTAGTTTAAAATTCAAGATATTTGATGATTGTGTCTTTTTGAGTAAACATGGTTTAACCCTGATGCTTGTTCACATGTTAGCCTGATACTGCCTTACTAAAACCAATTCGACTTGATTCTGATTTGTGTATGTTATGCCTATTTGACTCATAGATACCTCATTTGGGGGACATACTGACTATACATATATATTCCTAATATAAATTTCCATGCTTCCTATTTTTTACCGTATTTCTTCTCTAGCTCATCTAATTGAATCGGTTCTGAATTTATCTAGATTCCATACTTCCTCGGAACACAATTTGGCTTTGCTTTGTCTCCTTACACTTATTTTCTTTATAAACATTACTTTATTTTATGTGTATGGGTGCTTGGTGTGCTTGAATGTCTGTGCATTACTTGGGCACCTGGTGCTTGAGAGACTGGAAGATATCTCAGAACTGGAGTTAAAGACAGTTATGAGCTGCCGTGTGAAGGCTGGAAATCAAGCCCAGGACATCAAGAAGAACAGCCACTGCTTTTAACCACTGAACCATCTCTCCAGCCCCTCTCCATTTTTATTTACTTAGAACATCTTATGCCTGTAGAAAACACTTCTGTGATTCAGAGTTGGTATGGGGAGCAGTGGTATTTCCTCAGTGGATGCCTGGGAAACCCCATGGGTGTCTCTCTATACTTATTCTGTGGGGGAATTCCAGATAGCAACATGTGCCCAAGCTACTGATCCATCTTCTATACGTGGAACAACAAATATAAAGTCTCAGCCAATTCTATGAAATTAATAATAGCCACTTTGGGGCTGCAGAGATGGCTCAGCCATTAAAGGCTATGCTCACAACCAAAAATAATAGCCATGTTTGTAATATTGAACTATTCCAGAGAATAAAAGTGAAGAGATGTCTGTAGTCCTCACATAATTATTAGAAGAAGCATTTGTTTTCAGTGCATGTGCCAGCTAAGCTTTCCGGGAGAGAGGGTGCACTCATTAAATGAACCAAGAATGTACTAGGTATGCCAGAGTACTATCTGATAAAAAAATACAGAAATTATGAGAGACCCTGGCCCTTGGAAGAAAAATGTACTATTTTGTTACTTTCATCTATTTAAAATTTATTATTTTGAGATGTATATTTAGCTTTTAGTAATCTCTGAGTTACCAGAAATTATACTTAGATTTATGTGACAAGCAATGTCCTGAGTTGCTGTAAAACATTATAAAAGAAAGGACCAAATGAAAACCTTGCCAGTTTTTGATCTCAAACTGGGTCCTTTCTCCTTTGAGCATCATGGACCCAACAACAGAATCTAGATCCTATCGAGCCAAGGATTTTGGAGAAATAACTGGCAGATCAGGCTATCACCTGCACAATGGATTTGAAGCTAAAGGTAGGAAGGGGAAGACACTGAGGATGAGTGGGAACATTATTCACCGAGTTTTTGTGAAGGGTGTAGAGTCCATCCTGGAAATGGGAGAGTCCTGTCCTTTAATCTTCAAGAGTTGGTTTATGTCTGAGTTGGAAGCAGGATGGTACAAGATTACATGGATGGGCAGGGATTTTACTAGGGTAGTGTATAACAATGAGATGGTAATGCGTCTGGGGGTGAATAGCAGGTCAGCCCAGTGTCCTCTCCCATGAAACCTGTTTTACCTGGTGCATTTCTACATCCTGTTTTTCCCAGAACAGCCGAGATCCTGGATATTGTCATGGGCTGCAGAAGAAGGTATGGTGTCTGAAACAGAATTCTAGGTAACAGAAAGGATTCATTCTCAGGGGTGAGGGATGCTGGCTTGGTAACAAATAGAAAATATCAGCATAAAGACTGTGCACTGAGGTGCCCTAGGACAAACATAAAATCAAGAGAATTTAGATTAGTTTTGACAAGAGGAACTTGACATACTTTGGGTGCATGCCTAAGAGGGTATAGGTGGGTCACATGGAAGTTATTACTTCAATTTTTAGAAAAACTTCATACCATTTTCTATAATGTCTGTACTAGTTTTTATGTGGAGGTGTGTTCTCTCTACTACTTTCTCTAGGATTTTTTTCATGATGGCACGTTGGATTTTTCTAAATGCTTTTTTGATGTCTACTGAGATAATTGTGTGGTTTGGGTTTCTAAGTTCATTTATGTGGTTTATTGCACTTAGTGACTTATGTGTGTGTTGAATCATTCCTGATTCTCACAGGTAAAGCCAACTTGGTCATGGTGGATAATCTCTTTTGATGTATTCCTGTACCCACTTCAAGTGTTTTGCTGAGTATTTTTGAGTCTATGTTCATCAGGGATAGTGTTCTGTAGCTTTCTTGTTTTGTTGTTACCTGGTTTGAGTAGTAGAGTGAAACTGGCTTCATAGAAGGAATTTACAACAGTGAATCGACCCTCAGGGAGTCTCCCACTGCAGGTATGCAAGACAAGTAACACTAAGAGATCTGCCTGCTTTGCAGATTGTGACCTCCGTGTGTGATGCAGTGACAACATATTGTACATTTAAAGATTGATTGCACATGTAGATTTCATATCAAATGGCTTTACCACAGAATAATAAAGACAGACAATGTGGAGTGAAATGTAGTGCATAATTTATTAAGGATTTGTAAAGGCTGCATTCATTTTAGGAGACAGCTCAAAGTGATCAGGAAGAAGGAAGCCGCGCAAGAATGTGGTGTGTGCTGTGGAATGAAGCACGATTATGAAGTGTGCACAAGCACGGCATTCTTAAGGAACACGCTCTCCTAAGCTATTTAGAGGAAGAGATGAAGACCTTGGCATAGAATTTAAGTGGAAGGGAGACTTCTACATGAGATGGCAGGAGCTCTGCAATATGAGGGAGAGAGTGAAAGTGAGAACTCTGCATTCACTCAAGGAAATTAATGTTTAAACAAGAATCTTCCGTTTAACAGAATTTGGGGAGTTAGCCAAATGGCTTTTAGCCCAAGTAAGAACTGAGTTTAATGTAAGTTGTGCGGGTATTTGTCTCTCGAGGACTTGATCAGGAAGGAGCAGCAGGGCTGGCAGCAGCGGGACACACAGCAGCTGGGCTGGCAGCAGGGCTCACCGCAGCAGCTGGTCACACAAGTTGGTTTAACACAGGTAGTCTTATAACAAGTGGCTTCATAGCAGGTTGATTGACAGCAGAGCAGGCAGCTGGATGTGATGCAGCACCTGGGGAGGCAGCGCAACTGGCAGCAGCTGGTGTCACCTGTTGGTTTGCAGCAGGTGGTCTTGTAACACATGGTTTCACAGCAAGCTGGTTCGCAGCGGGGCTGCTAGAAGCTGCAGATGGCGTTAATTTGGCCACAGCAGCTGGACCCACAACAGCTGGGCTGGCAGCAGCTTGTAACACAGGTTGGTCTCCAGCAGGTGGTCCTGCAGCAGGTGGTTCTATAACAGCTAGGCTAACAGCAAGAAGAGCAGTGGAAGTTGGTCATGGTTCCAGATGCAGAGGGTAGTAGCGTTCTGTTTACAGGTGAGCTGTCTAGAATACCATGCCTTCATTTTAGTTGGGTCCTTTATACATCAGCTCACCTAGGTTTGGACCAATCACAGTTTTCCTGGTTATTTACATTATTTTCCGCTTTCAAAGTTTGTTTACCAAAGAAGAAGCTGTTCCTTAATAGGAATCTCTTTAAAAATACTTAATTTGTTTCTTATTTGGGAATAACTCACAGGAACTTTTTCAGATAAAGGAAGGAGTCACACTATCAGCTTCATCACAGCTCTGGGATTGTGTGGAAATGTGTTTGTTCCTTGGGGAAGAGAGGGTTGGGAGAATTTGCTTCTGTATTTTTCCTCGTTTGTTTGAACTTGAGCGAGGAAGTATCCACAGAGAGGGATGAGATGGGGCTGTGCTCACATCAGTTAGCAGAATGCCTAGCTCCTTGTCTATTCTTCTACAAAAACAGGCATCTGTGCTGGTACCAGTTCTACCCACTGTCCCAGATGTGTCAAATCATTTGGGAAGATTGGTGGCTGTGTATCAATGCACTGGCTTCTGAGTCCTCTATCTTGCTGGTCTACCTGTCAATCTTTGTTGCTAAACAAATGATTTTTATCACTATTTCTCAGTAGTATACTTTGAGGCCATGTATTTTGATACCTCTAGTAGCATTTTTCCTGTGCAGGATTGCTTTGCATATGCGTAGCCTTTTGTATGCCACATAAAGTTTATTACTTTTGGGAGGGGAGTTTTGTGAAGAATGTTACTGGAAGTCTTATGGGAATAGGGTTCAGTATATAAATATTTTTAAACATTATGGTCATTTTAAATGTTTGCTTGCCAAGCAGAAACACGGAAGGTTTCTGCATCATTTGATATCATCTTTAATTTAGTTTTTCAGTATTTTAATTTTTCACTGCACTGGTCTTTCACATCCTTTGTGAAGTTCATTTATAAGAACTTCAGGTCCAGTGTGTGTGTGTGTGTGTGTGTGTGTGTGTGTGTGTGTGTGTGTATTGTGTTGTGTTCTACAGTACTGCCCTCTGAGCTAAACAACCACCATCTTGGAACATGCAGGTTTTGTCCTTTGTAAAAGATCATCTCAGCTGGGATTGGTTACAGTTTACATCCCTCACAGAGAGGTGGGAGGGTCAGGAGCCCCTCACCTGAGTATTCAGCTATTCTCTACCACCATTTGTATGTAACTATGCTCTAACTGTGGGTGGTCTTAGGGAGGGGCTGGAGTATCTAGACCTAGAAGACTAGGAGTGGCTCTCCAGCAATGCATCTATGGGAAAGTCCTCATGTTTGCCAGGTAAAGACCTTCTAGTGTAGCCTTTTCAAGGAGACACTGTAAGCAGCTCCTCATCTGTGCTCTGTAATGAATGTAATGAAGCACAATAAACTTATTGGCTCCTCAGAGTCACCTTTGGTGGAATCCTGTTGTGGTTTGTTGGTGAGACCTTAGGAAGAATAGATGCTGCTTATGTCTCCTGTTGGAAGTAATTTTAACAACAGTGTGTGTGTGTGTGAGAGAGAGAGAGAGAGAGAGAGAGAGAGAGAGAGAGAGAGAGAGAGAGAGAGAGAGAGAGAAGAGAGAGAGAAAGAGAGAGAGAGAAAGAGAGAGAGAGAAAGAGAGAGAGAGAATTATTATATTGTAGAGTAAAAAGTCTTTTGAGCATGTGGATATACTATTAGGTGATTTATCAAAGTGTAATAATGACAGACAATATGGAATGGAATATAGTCCAGAATGTATTAAGTTTCCATACATTTTTGATAATATTAATTAAGGTATCTTTCTCAGATTTTCAGAGGGTAAGACAAAGATCTGGGCTCAGAAGAAAGTTGTAGACTGGGCTCCACACAGAGAGAAAAGGAGACTTAGAGGGAATGGATTTGCATTCCATCAGGGTGACTGAGGCTTCCAAAGTTGTGATAGCCTCAAAGTAAGGTGGGAGCTTTTGCCCACATGGCAAGATTTGTGGGACACAAGTACAGTTGTTGGGATATTGTTCAGTTGGCAAGTTGATCAGCAGTAGTCCTGGAAGCAGCTGGCCTAACAGCAGCAGGGCTGGAATCACCTAAGTATGTTTACAGCAGATGATCTAAGAGCTGGTAGTTTCACAAATGGTTGGGCAGCAGCTAGGCTGGCAGCAGCTGGACTCAGCACAGATAGGTTGGCAGTAGGGTGAGTAGCAGCAGCTTGTCACACAGGTTGGCTTACAGCAGCAGGTGGTTTCACAGCAGCTGGGCTGACAGCAGGGCTGGCAGCAGCTGCTCACACAGGTTGGCTTACAGCAGGTGGTCCTGCAGCAGATGGTTTCACAGCAGCTGGGCTGACGGCAGGGTTTGCAGCAGCTTGCCACACAGGTTGGTTTGCAGCAGGTGGTCCTGCAGCAGGTGGTTTCACAGCAGCTGGGCTGGCAGCAGGGCTGGCAGCAGCTGCTCACACAGGTTGGTTTGCAGCAGGTGGTCCTGCAGCAGGTGGTTTCACAGCAGCTGGGCTGGCAGCAGGGCTGGCAGCAGCTGCTCACACAGGTTGGCTTACAGCAGGTGGTCCTGCAGCATGTGGTATCACAGCAGCTGGGCTGACAGCAGGGCTTGCAGCAGCTGGCCATACAGGTTGGTTTGCAGCAGGTGGTCCTGCAGCAGGTGGTCCTACAGCAGATAGGCAGGTAGCAAGGGGAGCAGCAGGAGTTGGTCATGGTGTCAGGTGTGGTTGGAGGGTTCTCCTTGTTAACAGGTGAGTTTTCTACAGTATGGTGAGTTCTTGCATCTGGACCTTTTATATGTCAGGCCTTTAAGGTTTGAACCAATCAGCAGGGCTTTTCCTTGTTGTTGTTTATTCCATTTCCATATTCACTTTATGTTTCATAAGGAAGTGCTTCTCAATGCTATGCATCATTGGAAAGTTTATTCTGATTCTTCTTCCATAATCACTCATAGGGAGTCTTTCAATGATGGGAGATGGGAAGGGTATTGCACTGCCAGTCTCACTGTATCCTGGGTCATCATCTGGTCATGTGGTAGCCCTTGCTGTCTTGGGAGAGCGAGAGTATCAGTTTTTCTACATTTTGTCTCTCCTTTGTAGGAAGATTTTTGGGCTACCAGCTAACAATAAATGACATAGAGTCTTATTAATTATGAAATCTTGATCTTAGCTGAGGCTTGATTCAAACTATGTTTTATAACTTAAATTAACCTATCTTTATTAATCTACCTGCTATCACATGACTCATGGCTTTTTCTCTCCTCCTGCATGTCCTACTTTTTCTATGTCTGGCTGGTGATACTGCCTTTCTTCTTTCCTGAGAATCTCAGTCCCCAGAAATCCTGCCTAAACTCCTCCTGTCTACTATAGTCCATTCCAATCTTTATTAAACCAACCGCAGTGATACATATTCACACAGTGTAAAAGAATTCTGCAACAGTCCTCAGTTTATGAAGTATCTGCACAATGTTGCATTCATAGTGATGGATTAGTTGGGTGTCTGTCTTTTTACACACAAAGTCCTCACTTTGTGTTAGCCCAGACATCTGTTTCTTAAAGTCCAGTTGCACCATAGTTCGATTAGTTCCTTTGTTTCTTTGTTAAGTTTCTGTCTGATATTCCTGTCCAGTGGTGAGA